TGCGGCAAACTTTTGAACTTTTTTGTTTTCCTAAATGTTAGAAAGAATTTGAATTTATTTAGAATAGTAAATCCCTAAGTTTGAATCCTCAAGTTCAGCATTTGCATCACAAAAAAACGCAAACTTGCATAAAAATGTGCTTCATAGCGAAAGTGCATGATACCATGTAGAAATGACTTCATGTTTTACATATGTTACTTGAAGATCAGCACCACATATTTAAGAACGACTTCAGCAAAAAGGCAAATATACCCTTATTTTACATGCTCACTTAATGGCAATAACTTCGATCCATAGTTCTCAGACTATGTCCTTCTTGAAAATCGTTTGCCCCCAAATACTGCGCGTACAAATTCTGGCACCATGCCACATCTTTCGATAAGTTGAGCATACGGTAAAAAGTATAGTAATTGTACTTTATGGAGATAAGAACATTAGCAAGTGCTGAAACGTCTATTATAATATGTCATTTATACAATAATGCACAGGCAGTGTGCATCAAACCGTATTGCTCTCTATCTTGAGATCGTCAAATATCTCAAATCATACGTTACAGAATACCTTAAGATATCCACTTTTGCAAAATCTCCTCAATCTGAGGCCTTGTTTACTTCATTCCTAAGCTCTGACTAAAATGACAAAATTTATATGGAAGGCTTGCCTTTACTTAAGGTAATTGTCCCTTTGGTTTGAAAGGGCAGTGCTTATAGCTCAAAATTGCATGAGTTGGCTCCAAAAATCAAACACGTGTTTGAAGACTAAAGCCTTTCTATAAAAATTATGTAATTAATAATCTGATATTAAGTATAGATATTGAAGGAACAAGCAGTACATAGTCAATACCCTTTAAATTCCGAGATTAGATAATGTGGCGAGTAGATTCAGTTCTATTCTGATGAAAGCTACATGCTTCTAAAGGCGTCACAATGGAAGATTTTGCCTGACAATTTTTTCAAAAGCTTTCAGATTTCAAGGCGTGACATCAGAATGCGTCGATATGCAGAAATTGTGAGAAAATGCTCGCCCTTTCTATTAGTTTATTCCAAAGGAGAAAATATTATTGATGCTGAAGAGGTACGAAAACGAGTGGAAGGAGTAAGGAGAAAACGAAGAGAACTAGGTAAATGCCTGATATTTAGTTACTTTCGTCATGTTATCAGTGAGAGTCATGCATTATGCTTATTTGCAATTGCAGGTTACTTTTCCTATAACGCAGGCGTCGAAACCACTTCTCTAGCTTCTAGTACATCCACTGAAAAGCTCACCGAAGATATGAGGTCATTCAGGAGGCACTTTGTAGAAAATCCTTCATCGCCTAGGAGAAAGAAGGTCTGCAATTCCCTGTCTTTTCATAACCAAACTTTCTACATCTACATTCCTCATTGATCCAGTATATCCTTCAGGTCCGTGGAAACCGCAACAAATCACCAGAAGATGACATCTGGCACGGATTTGGAGAATCCTCCGAAGATAAGGAAAAAGTGAATGATGAGAAGTCAAATGATGTGCGAGTTGTACTGCTCGGAGCTGAAGAGAAGAAAGCGGTAAAGATTCACGTAGTAATTCAAGTTGGATAAAACAGTTTCAAGTGCTTAAACTCAAAAATTTTTGTCGGTGTTTCTCCAATTTTTGTGAAATTCTTAAAATTGAGCATTTTATTTTACTTATCAGCTGTATCCTTCTTTTCCTAGATGTGCCAGAGACGTAGTTCCATGATTGATCTGCGATTACTTGGATGGGGACGTTGGGTGATTGCTCCGGCTACATTTGAAGCAGGGTTTTGTTCTGGAAAGTGCCCAAATCCGCTTCCAAAGGTGCAGTTTTCTAAGAATAAGAGACTGTCTCTAAGATAAATCAGCATAGAGATTGTGTTTTACTTACATTTAGAAAAGCGCCCCTTTTGCGAAGTTTGCAAGTTTGATTTTAAAAAAGCTGTTGAATAACAATATGCTTATCATTTCGGAATGTCATCTGCGCTTTACCGATTTAGTTTGAAGGTTAGCTCTACGTCAAATTCCGCTTAAGTACTGCCCTTGAACATCTCCGAAAAAATTTTTGGAACTAAACCTCGCATTGTTATGTTATAATAAATGGACTAAGCATGTTTACTAACAACATCAGGCACAAGCCTTCGATTTCACTTTTCTAAATAGTGCAATAATGTTTTTCGATAGCGCTTAAGTTGTCTATAACTTTGCACCGTAATTCTACCGTAGGTGGAACGACGTACAACAACTTCTTTGAGCAAAAATAATTGTTCAAGTCCGCCCTTCAATTTGTATAAGTAGTCTTAGAAAAATCTCGAAATAAAAGAGTGTTTACGATCAAACAAAGCACATATTTTTCTTAAACATTTATTTCGATTCGAGCTTTATTTAAATGTTGCTTTGAGGTTCAAAGTTTTTTTAGGATATGAACCCTTCAAATCACGCAATTCTGCAAAGTCTCCTGCAATCCGCATCCATTCCTGCCGTATGCTGTTCTCCGGATCAAATGCAGTCGTTAACAATCTTCTATCGCGACGAAATCGGGCGATCGACGATTAGAAATTTTGAGAATATGATAGTCGATTCCTGTACTTGTCAGTAAATTCTAGTGAAGTTTTGCACTATGCTAATCATTTTTTAAAATATTTCATGTCCACGCGCTGTTTCTGTAAAGTTGCAGTCAAATCAAACTTGACAGAATTCGATTCGTATATTGTAGCTTTACATGTCCCATAATATATATATACATTGCCAGCCATTTAATCCTCGACTCCATTTACTCAAGGTGAATTGATCTTGCCCTTCTTATCTTATCTTATTTTTTCTGTTAATGCTGAAACTGTTTATAATAGTTTTCCAAAATGGGAAATTGTGCTGCCTGCTATTGAGTACATATACGTGAAGTTGTGGTCTGTAAAAATTTGATTTTAAACTGTTGCTCCTTCCTAACACTCAAATTTGTCTGCTGCAAAAGGTCATTTATTTGACTACATGGCACAAAACTGTAGTATTACTCTCTTGAAGCAAGGAGAGATTGAATGAAATCAAGTTTAAAAATTCTTCTGTAGATTTAGAAAGCTTTTACTCTCCTCTAAAGAAATCTCTCATTTACAGTATTAACTCTTATGTAGCAAATCCACCTCCGTCACTTATGCAAGGCGCAGCTGAACATTTTCGAGAAGCTCGCTCCTTGGTGAATTTTCCTACATTTGTAATTGAGAGAACTATGGGAATCTGTGGAATCCTTTGTCTTGATAGATGTCAGGCCTAAAAAGAGCAGAAGGTTGTATGTTCTAATCCCGCCGTGTTTGTATCTGGTCAACACTTACACTCGATGGTAATCTTCATTTTGAAACTTACATTTTTTCATAAGCTCACTCGAAATTTTCCTGTTCTGGTGGGAAAAAGCAGCCTTATTATTATCATAGACGAAGTAATACTTATCAAAGAGAGCATGACTTAGTGTCGCAAAAGTATCTCGTTCGAAGATCCTATCATCTGAGAGAGCCCTCCACAAACACTAAATTTAATGCCTTCCGGCTAGTTCTGATATTTTCTTCTTCCTATATAAAAGTTTTTTAGATGATAGGAAGCAACATACTGAATATGATCAAATGGATGTCTAGAAACAGCGAGAGATTGACTCATTATTCGCCTATTAAATACGTTTTTTCCTACTTTTCGTGGACTCTGGCTGTTGGTCGTAGTAACGAGTATTAAGTATACTCAATTTTTACCCTAGAAAATGCGAGAAACACACTTTCTTTCAAAATGTGCACATTTTATTAGGAATAATCAGCCACAAATTCATAAGTTTTCATAAAAGTAGTATAGTATGAAAATCCTTCTCCATAAGAAGGGTGATAGGGAGGATCTTCGGAACTGTATGAACGTCTAATATGCCCGCTGAGTGTGCTTTACAAGCTTTTTACGAAGATTATTCTCGCT